GTCAATGTAAATGGAGAAAGACCGACGACGAACAGGCAAAACAAAGTCGCGCTCAGATTAACTGCCCACAAACACGCACGCTTTCGCGCAACGATTGGCTGAAAAGTTGTGAGTAGGCAGAACGCACTTGGAATAGGTCGGAGGGCACAGGCTCATCAGAGTTGCCTGGACTGACGACCGGTTTCATTGCAGTGAAACTGGGATCAAACATTGAAACATCAGAGTCGGAGGCGAGCTCCGGCCTATATGGCGGCTCCATCCTTCGATTGTAGACATCGTCCCAGTTGATGCCCTACAATTCACAAAGCCCAACTAAGAAGCGCGGCATTTAATAAAGCAGTAAGCAAGCGTTTCACTAATGAATGCACTAGTGTGCAGTTATAGCCAGAATCGCAGGGACAAGTAAACGCCCACCCGTCGAACGAAGAAGAACTGCTCCTTAATTTCCTCCACATCATTTTTGTTGCCCAGCCTCTCTTTTGGATCTTTTTTGAGTAGACCACGAATGAGAGCGATCGCTTCAGTCGAGAAGGAGGGTGGGAATCGCACCTGACTCTTAAGGATCTACATGGAGATTTGGGAGAGTGATATGCAGAGAACAAACCTTCTCGGCAGTTGCTTTTTTGTCACCTTCCTGACTGAATGGAGGCTATAAAAGAGCTGCGATGAGGCATAAACTTGACCTACACCACCAGATAGCATGTCAAATAAAAGCGTTCCAAGGCTCCACCAGTCGACTGCCCTGCCGTGTCCAGCGCATCGGATTATTTCAGGAGCCCTAGGCATATCAGCAAGTGTAACAGCTCTTACATGTACTCGATCGTCCCACAAAACGTGTTTGTCGTCCCCACACCCTCTTTGGATAGGCCAAAATCCGTCAATTTGACATGACCATCCTTATCCAGGAGAATGTTTTCAGGCTTGAGATCACGGTAAATAATGCCGAGAGAGTGGAGATGACCTATGGCTAGAGCGATTTCGGCTATGTAGAAGCACGCAGCATCTTCCATGAGAAAGCACTCCCGCTCTAAGTATCTGAACAATTCACCTCCAGGACAGTACTCAAGTACGATGTAGAGATTGGAACGGTTTTGGAAGGCATAATGCAGCCGCACAAGAAAAGGGTGCTACTTTCAAAGAAATTTTTACATAATTACGAATTCACCTTAAGCATTTGCAGAATATTGCGTTCAGAGACGGTGTGAACGGTGTTCTTCTCGTTACGAATCAGCTTTGCCTTCTTTAAGACCTTCATCGCATAAAACTTGTCTTTATCAGGACTTTTGGTTATTTTTTGAACAAGAAACACCTATAGCTGGAAGCAAAGCATAATGACTTACTGTTCCATAACCACCTTTACCAATGACCTTTAGAACCTTAAAGTCTTCAGCATTGACTTTTTTATGAGGATTGACGGTATCTTCACAAATCTCTAATACCTCCGTCCCAGGTCTGAGTATACTGCACATATGAGACACATGCACTTACTCTACTTTCCCTTTAATGCTACTGAGGCGGTCCTCGATCTTAAAACATATATAGGTTAAAATTCGTTACCTCCTTCATTTTCGGAACATGGGTATCGACCTCATCATAAACATCACAATTCTCACTGTCATCGTGAGCAGAGGTTTCATGATCCGGGTCAACCGACATGAACGCAATCTCAGCCATCTCGATTATCACAACTGCCAGTGTGTCAACCGCACATAACCGACGTCGACTCGAAAGATCACCTATTCAACAAAAAACTAAAACAACGTTAAATCAACCATTGTGAGTTCAAAAACGTTCATAAGGCATTCAAAAAATACCTAAAAAACTAACTTTGAGCCTATTAAAACTGATTCGGTGCAAACAAGAAGATTAATAGAATGGATTAGTGATTCAAGCTTAACACTAAAATTTGCATTTACTGGACGAATTACTTACATTAGCTTACTGCGTATTAGTTGAATGCATTTTCAGCTACATGAGTAACCCTAAACTTACAATAGTTTTCTTCTATACTGGCAGGCGAAATTGTTAGCTTTATTCAGAACTATTACGAAAATCTCCTCCTCTTTCCAGTCTCCTTAAAAAAGGATTAATTAAAGGCGATTTGTTAAGCTAGTTACAAGTATCTTGGTCGCTTCCATGGTGTGTAAACTACATTTTCGCTACCTTCGGAATACACGTATCCAGCCTCACATACTGCCTTCTTCCGCCCTATGGGAAGTCTCGGGATGCTACAACAGCAATGCTTTGGCGCAGCCGCAAGCAAAAGTTTAGTGCCTCAGCATTTAGTGGGCTGAAGTTGTGCGGTCTAGGGGACGGTTGGAGAGTTTTGGCTTTGACTTGATCCGATGATCCACCTAATAATATAAGAGCAAGACGATCCCAAAGTAACCATCTCTTAATTTAATTGGTATCCACAACATATTCGAAACCACAAGAACGCTACTTTGGGAATAAAAGATTGTGTTTGGCCGTCTCAAAAACTTCTTTTATATCTCCACTTACGTCCAGTCTGAGGGCAAGTATTTTTTAAAGGAATTTCTGTTGTCTTGACCTGAAGGTCAGCCCACGTGTACAAGACCCAGTAGAATGCCAAGTAACTGCCAGACACTCAGGTAGTCCCATAGCCAAGGCCTGCATGCAGCATTACATCTATAGCTCGACTATAAGGTGATGCACTCCACGTTTGATAGAAAGGGATCTTGCCTATGGAAGGTGAGAATGACAGGGCTTCGACTTCTCACATAGGCCAGCGTATGCATCCAAAGCGACCGTTAGGCATGCAAGTATCTGAATTAAAACGTGATTATGGAGCATCACCACACTTCACGCTGGGAAGATAATGCATTTAATCGGAATAAATGCATTTATTCAAAATAATCACTGAGGAAGGAATACCAAATCCCATAGTGACCTCCATTCAAACAGAGTTAAATAAACAAGTTACCAAATCCCATAGTGACCTCCATTCAAACAGAGTTAAATAAACAAGTTATTCCAATACCCTCTCTTCTTTTGAGCGGATTCCTCGATGCGTCCTCCAATACGCTCCTCAAACCAAACTAAAGAAAGCATTTGATGTTGCATAGGAATCGCCCACGAGTCAGTCTGTCCATTTGACTGCCCCCATGGGACAGAGGGATTGTTCTCGACCTTCAGCTAAATCTGACCCTCCTTTGACCCTATAAAAGGAATTAGATGCGAAAGCATTAGTGCTTCTCTACTTTATCCACGACTAGTGACGTTAAGGTCAATCAAATTGCCTCGGTTGCAGAGGCCTTAATGACCGGCGCGACAACCAGTCAGTGTTTGCGAGCACATTGAGTGGTGTAAAAAGGCCGGGCCAATGCAGTACTTGGGATGGCTACCACAATAGGTCGAGATCACTGCATTGACACATTTGGATTTCCGATCATGCCAAGAACACAATCCTATCACATTAGCCTTAACGTTTTTTCAAGGGAATTATTTTGTAATAATTTGTTTGTAGAATAAATTATGGGACTAATGGTCACCCTAGTGATGCTAGGTAGACGGGCCTGGGGACAAAGCGAAGAATTATGTATTCCCCAATGCCCTGGAGGCAAGTGTAATGCCATGTTTATGCGACCAGTTGACGTTTGACGGTCACTATAAGATTTGTCTGGCGCTTGTGCTCGCGAGCTGGCATATCAGCCATGCTCAGAATCAATTGCTTCTCCCTATTTGGAATGCATGTATCCAGCTTCACTTACTGTCATCTTCTACCGAGTGGGATGTCTCCAGATGCTGCACTGGTGGAAGCGGAAAACAAATCGAACAATTTTTAAACGACTTCAATCCTAGCACGTACCGTTCTTTGCTGGTACTACGGTGTGGAGGAGACTAATTTACTTTGGTGATCGAGAATCTCCGAATCCCTCACAACGAAAGGATTGACACTGACATCTGCATTTGGCCTCACCTTATTCTTGTGTTCCACAGACAAGCTATAAACAACTAAAGTGACGCCACCGTGAACCATCAAAAAAGTTTTGTGTTAAATTTCTCCCAAAAAATCCGTGTGTACGTGTTTGAAGAGGCATTACGGTTGTTCCTATATACGGGACAGTAACTTGTCCCGTTTTTTTCTGTAACATATATGTTTTACATTAGAGTTACACCGTCTGTTCCTGGAAGTAATTGATGTTCAAAAAGGGTATGCGGCCCCAACTCTGGTTATTAGACCGAACGTAACTTCATATCCAGTTGAAGCTGCTGAAGAGACCAGGTACGATACCTCAGTATCATACTGTCTGTCGACTGGCTTGATTTGCTCGTAAAAGCTCTCTTGTAGTGCCGCAAAAGGAAGAGAGGGGCAGTGTAAATCTTTGTTTATGGGACTACCTGACGTTCAATAGTCACTTAAAAATTTGTCTGATTCTTGTGCGTGTGGGCTGGCCTTTGGGCCATGCTCTAGCCCATTTGCTTTGTTACCTTCGAAATACATGTATTCAGCCTCACTCACCGTCTCCTTCTACTACATAAAAAGTCTCAAGACGCTGCGGCAAGCATATAAGAAATGTTCAATATCTTTTACGATTAAATGTGTAATGCTTTGTTTATGCGACTATCGGACGTTCGGTGGTCACTTTAGGACTTGTCTGGGACCTGTACACGTGGGCTGGCCTTCGGGCCACTCTCAGGTCCTATTTCACCTATTGCTTTCGGAATACATGTATTCAACCTTACTTATGCCTTCTACTACCCCATTGGAAGCCTCGGGACGCTACAGTCTTTAATGCTATTTTTATATATTTATCGAAATACATAACAGAAATAAAGTTAAGAATAATAGGTTCGTTGCTTTTAAGCACAAAATTGTAAACATGCAAAAAATTTTTGTTTAAAATTTGGCCTTTTTTGATAACATGATCTACCAAGTTTCATTTTGTTCAGAGATGTTTGTTTATTCCAATGAAAATAATTCATTTAACGCGCTCAGTATAGTCTTAGGAAAACAGCTGCTTTGGTACTGTCAGCCGTATGCCGTGTTCTGGGAAATCACTTTAAAATGTCGTCGAATTATATTCGGCTGGGAATTTATGAGTATAATCCTGCTGATATTTTGGGCAGCGGTGCCTTTGCCATTGTTTACAAAGGCAGATTTCGAGACGTGAGCACGCATTATTAAGTTGATATTTCCCTGTAGAACAAAAGCCACAAGGTAGCTATTAAGCAGATGATAAAAGGGCAGAACGTTCCTAAATCAAAAACTCTTCTAAGCAAAGAGATATCAGTGCTCAAGGTAGGTCGTCGCATACAAAACATTTCTAGGGTCTTAACCATGAGCATATAGTTCGACTTTACGACCACAGTGTAAGTTAAATTTTAGAATCTATTTTGCTTTGTAGGTATCAAATGCTGATGTTTATCTTGTAATGGAGTTTTGTAACGGAGGTGATCTGTCAGAATATCTTCATAGTAAAGCAGCGTTTTTCATTTGACGCGTTGTTTAGATAAGAAAACGTTGCCAGAGGAAACAATTCGTCATTTTCTAATTCAAATCGGATCTGCAATGGATGCTATGAATAAGAGGGCGATCATGCATCGTGATTTGAAACCTGGGAACATTCTTCTTAGCTATTATGGTGATTATCCATCTGTCAACGAAGTCCCGGGACCCCTTATCACTTTCAAGCTTGGTGTGTTTGATTGAGTGGTGTCAAAGCTTGCTTGCTGTTTTTATTATTCCTTTTTGTATTATCATTTATCAAAAGCTGTTTCTTCTCGATGCTATCTAAAATTTTGTTCTCCTTATTGCAAATTACAGCGGATTTCGGGTTCGCAAGATTCTTACAAGATGGAATTATGGCTGAAACAATGTGTGGCTCCCCAATGTATATGGTAAAGATCGTTATAGTTGATGATTGACATTTCTTATTATTGTTATTTTACAGGCGCCGGAGGTATTAATGTGCCAAAAGTACGACGCACGTGCAGATATTTGGAGCATGGGGATTATCGTTTATCAGTGCTTTGTTGGGAAGGCGCCTTTTTATGCCAACAGTCCCGAGGCATTGAAAAACATCTATCTAAAAACCGTTGATTTGAAACCAAAGTGAGACACTTTCCTCGTGATATATGGAAAATTTTTCGCTGGCACTGAAATGCGATGCATAGTTTACCAGATCAAACTGTAATGCATAATTTTTTTAGAATTCCACGTGAGACAAGCTCAAACCTACGCGATCTCTTGCTGAAAATGTTAATACGAAAACCAGCTGACAGAATCGATTTCCGTATGTCTTCTGATAGAGCGAATATATTTTGTGGATTTTCTCATTTCTTTGTTGGAGTTATTTCACTGTTTGTTTTAGCATCGTTCCTCTCCCATCCCTTCCTCACCACAAAGCATATATCTCCCTCCGGTAAATATTGTTCGCATGTAAATGGAGCTTTTAAGATTCGTTCAGTTTGTTTCCATTAAAGCTTTTCCCTTCCAGATCTCGTACCTCACAAACCAGCAACGGTGCCTCCCTTGCCCAGTTCTGTGCGTCGACTGCGCGGAGGCCAGTCTCCCGTATCTCGCACTACACTCACAGCTACGGCTCGGCCCCATTTCACTGCACCCTCGCCTAATGCTCGTGCCACTGACTTGCCCCTCCCTAGTAGAGGTCGCGGCCGTGGTCGCAGCGCTATTGCAGATCTTATGCCAAACCCTACTGCTAGGGCTCCTCTTGGACGTGGCTCTCGTCTCGTTCAGCCCACTACAGTGCTCCGCCGTGATCCTCCTGGTAGTGGGGGAAGCGTCAGTCCTTTTCCACCACCACTTCCTCCACCTGTTCAACCTAATGGCGGGGTCGAGGAGAAAGACGATGAATCCTCTGATGCTTCGCTCACCCCCACCGAGGATGGCGATGAGTTCATTGAGGATGGACTGGGAGGTAGCAGCCTGTTGGGTGACGCGAGGAGGCGAGTGCCACTGTCAACTGATGGATTTGGTGCCTTAGATCCCTGTCTAGCAGAGGTGCTGCAGCGGCCTAGGCCTCTGGCTACGAATGCAACGGCTGGTGGGGGACATTTTCAACCTTGCCATGCAGCTGCAATGGATCGCAGCTTAGAGGGCTACGTCATTGTGGACTCTGACGGCTCGGGTGAGCAATTTTGAGTGAATTATTCGTTATAGTTTGTCTCTCATTAGCGTTTATTAAATACGCATGTTTTAGTCCTGTCCACAAGAGTCATCTATGGTTTAATTGTTTTGTCATGCATAGACCATTTTTGGTGGCTTTTCTGACCATCTTATTCGCTTTTTAAATAGATATTTCTGGTAACACTACTGGACATTGAGATGAATTGCATATGTTTTCCTCATTAGAATTTGAACGCGATCGCGGGCCCCGTGCTTTCCCTCGACACCCGTACGTTGTTGAATGTTGATGTTGTGTTCAGTTAGAAAACAGTTGTAGACTTTCAGCGGCGAAAGTCAATTGTTTTTTTGCTAGTACACGTTTCCCTAGGCATGCGCCTGTTGCAGTATAGAATTGCCCACAAGTAGTGACTCCCTTTGATGTTCTTACCCTGCGGTTTCACTTCACTCCACCCACTGGAGGTGCATAACCTTGTTTTTGCTGTCTACCTTGGCAAGACGCATAAAAATGATCCTGCTGTTAGTTTTATTCCTTTTCAATTCTCGATTCCACATGTTTATTAGGCGTCCTATCTTCATCTTGAACAGTAAATGTGAACTGTGCGTGCTTCCACATTTTGATGTGCAGGTTTTGATTAGTTTGTCAATTTGACAATGCCAGCATCTGGTTACTTATTGCCCAAAAAGTTTACTTTACGTGAGAACTCTCCTAATCTTGCCAGCTGGCATGATTTGTCAAACACCACTTCTATTCGCCCTTTGTGGCTTCGTGGCTCTGGACGATTTTTTTTTTCTTTTTCTTATATCCTTTACTGCAGGGTAAACAAAGCCTTGTAGTTAGATAATCTGCTGTTCGGGAGAAAGGCGAATCTTACTGCTGTAGACTTCTGACATGGAGCGTTAGTCTATTTTGAACGTGGCGTTCGTGTTGGTACGCTTTGACGAACCTCTGACATTGTGCAAGTGTACAATGACAATGATCGTCTTCACGACACTGCGAAGATGGAAAGAGCCTTCGTTATTGCACATTGTACACGCTAATCAACTCGCTATTGTGCTTAGTTTTTTGCTTGAGATGACCTACTTAACTATTCTAGGGTTTCTGCTAGGCTTCCACTTTTGCCTCACACTCATGAACTTTGCATTAGACGTTTTCTTTCAAATTCGCAGGGCTGGTTTTTGCCTTTTTTTAGGAGTCAGCTTCCTCGACGCAGCGAAAATCCACCTCCTCACTACCGTGCGTCACCGTTGCCGTCTTCCGATGACAGGTCTCACATCCCTCGAAAAATTAATCTCATCTCCAATGGCAGATCACAGGCTGGAAAGGTCTTGGTATGGCATGGAGTGGGTTTTTTGTGTCCACATCGTTTTGAGTCACTCAACTCGACTGACATTAGTACTAGCACAATGACTGTCTGATTTGCTACTTTTTTGTTGTCCCCATAGAAGAGTTTTTGTAATTTTATTGTTGTTTGCAATCATCGTGTTTTACTTTTTGCACTTTTGCTTTCCAGTGTGATGAAGCTCAATGCAGTTCAGATCCACGATCACCTGTCAGAGGAGTTTTTACCAGTGCGCGTACAGGTTGGCTTCGTCTTTCTCATTTCTCTTCCATGCACACTGACTGGAAAGGATGTTTTTTTCTCCATTAGCGGTTACCAATCTGCCCCCTTCGAACCCAACCGAAACATCCGCCACAAATGCCAAATCGCCTTTAAATCATGTCACAGGTGAAGTCAAGGCTCGGACTCAAAGTTCTGCAAAGGTGGCTGATGTTCCCAGTAAGTTTAACACCCCCTCACACATAATCATCGTTACGACTCGATTAGACGTTTCAAGTTAGTTCTTACAACTTCAAATGCAGAGAGTTGGTGGAGGGGGGGGGGAGGCAGACTCAAGTTGACTCCTGTTTTCATAAACAACCCCAGAGGACGGTGTTTGTTGTATGCAACTAAGTTTCATTTTGCTTAAGCACGAGGTCTCCTCCACCCCCACATTTATTCACCCCAAATCCATTGCCACATTGGTGAGTGTGTGAAGCTCTCTAATCGCATGTCAACTTATTTTGTTGGTAATGATTTGCAGAGAAGCAAGTAATTCAGCGTAGTCGAACCACTCCATACACGTATGTGACCGAGGAGGCAGCTCGTCTGTTGGCCGGTGAGTTGGGCATCACTCGATTCCGCGTCTCAGCTGCTCGGCTTTGGCAGCATGCGCTTCTTTCACTTACCTCTCAACTTAAGCGTCTCTTTATTATTAGTCGAGTTGCAGTTGCGTAGGTCGTGATGGTCCCCGCTCACAATGATGATTGCTTCGTGACTGGATAGATGTTTTTATTCATAGTCAAGGCGTCCCTGTTGCTTCACTTTTTTGACCCTAAACGAGCTTTGCATGTTGTTATTCTTTCTTCTTAGTGCAACTTCAAGCGGTCAGGGATGAAAGTGGTTCAAATGAGTTTATTGACGAGCAATTGATGGAGGTGAGTTATTTACTGTTTCAATTGAGAGTGTCTTAGAGGTGATGTGGCTGTGTGTAACCTGATTTTTGTGTCCTTAAATATGCGCTGCATGAAGTAAGTAGGTTTCGTTGAGGGATTAGCAAATGAAAAGCTCCCTTCAAAGCCACTTGAAGATGGAGCATGTCAAAATTGCCTAAGTGTGACTAAGCGGTACTCCTTTTCGTCAACAAACGTGTGGTGCCGATTTTGGCAATCGCATGGCCCTAGTTTTGTTGGTTAATTCTCCTGCCAACCGCTTATTCTGGTTGAGGGAGTGAATGAAGGTATTTGGGCTGAGTCACGCTTTGACTGGCAGTCTTGCATCGATGAGGGATGCATCATCAGTAGTTGCCTCTGTGGGTGCAATCACCGATCCTCATGCGCCTTTATAGGTGCACCTCTTTGATAGTGTCAATTTGCACGGGAATGGACAAAGATTGGGGGAGAGAGAGAGAGAGGAACTGCATCTGCCTTCGATAGGCTCACATCGACCTTAGTAGACACACTAAGGCTCCTTCCTTATGCTCTTTCTTTGTGGTTCTCTTCGACGGGAAAATTCTCACAAACCCTTTAAATCTGATCATTTATGATGATAAGCTTGAATCTTAGCCGACAGAAAGGCAACTCATTAAATTATAATTTTACATCTTTTACCTTGAAATAGTGTCAATAAATCGGATTAGAAGTTATTTTGTCTAAATTAGACTTCTTAGATCTCTTGGGTGTGTGTGTGTGTGTGTGTGTGCTTATTTCAGAAGCGGTGTACGTGAGTGAATCTCCCCTCGTTCACTTATTTGTATTTGAGCTTGTTTGAGGTTGTGGCAAAGCTCGCAAGGCTAGGTTTTAAGGAGGGAGGGTTGTGTTGTCACGCCTCTGTCACTTTGCATTTCCCTTTAGCCAGAGCATCGACAGGAGATGCAAACAATGACGATGGTTTTAGACTTGTGTGAACTCCTCACCGAGTTGGCTGAACGACGAGCCTCTGCTCTTACCGACTGCACTACTGTCACGACAGCATCGAAACAGCCGCAGTCCAGCTTGGAGGAAGAGGAGGAGGAGGAAGAAGAAGAAGACAGTGGACCGACAGTACCTCGTGTTTCAAATGACTCTCTTCCCGCCACCAAACTCAAACTCATGCCCGAGGCTCAACGGTAAGTTTGTCAATTTCTCTTTCATCTTGCAATACCTTTAACCACTTTTACTGGAACGTCTTTTGTGGGCATAATTGGGGCGGGGGGCGTTCAGACACCATCAATTACTCTCAACCAACATTTGATTTTCCAAAGCATAACCCATCAACATCGTAAACATTGAAGCTGTGAGTTCGTCTAGTTTAGGCTTTAGGATCAGCCTGTTCATTCAAGTCGTGATTTATTGCCTGAAGCTCGTTTTACTCCTCCAGTTCTGGTGGTGCTGGTGGAAATTAGGCAGTAGAATTTGGGAAGATCGTATCTCGTTCCCAGTGACTAGGGGAATTGCCTCTTTCTCATTGTTTGCCTTATTTCCATTTGATGGGCCAACTGTTCTGCTTGATGCTGCGTCACAGACTTTATTTGGTCGTTTTATCTCTCCACACCTGTGGTTGTTTTCTCGTAAGGTCAACAAATTTCGCTGTTGGTCCCTGGGCTTGGACACATTACTGGGCAAAATTGCCCCATACTGGGTTTTGCTGCACCTCTCCCATCTGTTGTCGTGCTTCGTTTTGAGGGTGAATGAGTTCTTGAGAAATATTCTTGCACAATTGCTACAGCATGTTTATTTACCTTCTATGGCTTTTGCCCACGGGATGCAGGATTGTGGAACAGCTTGTTCTATACCGCCGAATTCTCTACTACCTTGCATACGTCTTTGCGCAAGTTAAGAAGGCATTTACAGAGCATCGTCTGCAACCCACTCCGACCGCCAAAAGACGTGAGTGCCTTCACTGTCTCCCTCCTTTCTTGCATGATTGGAAGGCAAAAACAAAAAGCCAACAGAAATGGGCTTTACATTCACTCATATTGTCTAGGCTTAACTGATTGTAATGCGCTGTACCACCGATGCTACATTCGGCTTTGTCAGTTGACACGTCTTTCGCGTCGTGACGATCTGCTCAAACCCGTTGGACATCATCTTTCTTGTATTACCGCTAATCGCCTCATCTATAACTACGCTCTGGATCAGGTTGGTCTGCATTCCCTTTTTCCCATCCTCTCCTCCCCCTCTGCACCACCTGACGAGCCTCCATTGTGTCGTAGTGCTTCGCCGCCGAAATGGACGATTACATAGGCGAACTGGGGTTGGTGAGTTTTCCTTTGCACTGAAATATG